GAAGGGATGCCATCCAGAGGGATCTTGACAAGCTTGAGAGGTGGGCCTGTGCAAAACCTCATGAGGTTCAACAAGGCCCAGTGCAAGGTCTTGCATCTGGGCCAGGGCAATCCCAAGCACGAATACAGGCTGAATGGAGAATGAATTGAGAGCAGCCCTGATGAGAAGGACCTGGAAATCTTTGTTGATGAGAAACTCAACACAAACCAGCAATGTGCACTTGAAGCCCAGAAAATCATCCATATCCTGGGCTGCATCAAAAGAAGCACAGCCAGCAGGTTGAGGTAGGTGATTCTCCCCCGCCTCCTCACTGGCAGGGCAGCATAAGCAGCAGAAGAGTACTTGACTTAGTGTAAGCACTGCTTGGCAATAATTAAACCATCAGTGTGTTATCACCATTAACCTCATCCTAAATCCAAGAACACAGCACCATACCAGCTACTACGAGGAAGACATTCTATTCCAACTGAAACCAGAACCTATGACATAAAAAAATCTTCCAAACAAAAAAGCATAGTCAAGTTCCTTTTAGATTTGTTATACTGCCAAATTATTTAAAAATTAAATGCTAATCATAAGCCATGGCAGACTGAAAACAGAGGAAACAAATATTTGCACATTTTGTAGATTATTACATAGCTGCCTGGGAGAAGCTTCATCTGTATCAGAAACAAATCACAATATGAACCCATGGGAAAACATTTGCATCTGATGGAAACAGCAAAAGAAAATGCGATAAAAGGAGCCTTGAACTGAATAATTTAAGTCACTTGAAACATGGCACTAAGAGGAAAATTAAAACTAGAAATGGAACAACCTTCACTGTTGGACATGCTCACAAAGAAATGGAAGTGGAAAAAGGAGTTTCCCAGAACCACCAAGGCAAATAGTCTAGTATATAATTTTATGCCACAAAACAAAGACATTAAAAGCAAATCCATCTAGAGGGAAAGCATTACTACCTACTACAAACATACTTCCTCCTCGGTATCAACTAACTGAGAAGCTTTCACTGGCATAACCAGCAACATCAGAATTAAAAAGCAATGAGAACAATCCTAAGAAAGTGCAAAGGCCCATTTCCCAAAAGAGCTCCTGAACAGTATCACTCACTCAAAACTGTAATAAATTCCAAAAAGGAAAAGCAGCAGATGGCACACAGAAACATGCAACTAAAAGTTCCTTGGTTATCACCTTGGCTGATTTCTCTTCCCAAGCACTAGTTCAGAAGATTACCAGATGAGGTTTATTTATTTAAACTAGACCAGTTCTTCTACTACAAGGTTCAAAGTTGAAAGACTCAGGAAAAAAGAGTCATGTCTTCATAATTTATTAACAATTTAAGACAACACTGTAATTTAGCCTTGCAGACAGCTAAACACTACAAAGCCATTTGCTAGCCCTCTGTATTGGGTTTATGTGACAAGGGCTTAGTAGCAGGGGGGCTGCAGAGGTGGCCTCTGTAAGAAGAGTCCAGAAACTGCCCCATGTTAGATAAGGGCCAGTTCCAGCTGGCTCCAAAAGGGACACACCACTGGCTAGAGGTGAGCTAATAAAATTTGTTGGTTGCACCTCTGTGAGAGCAGATTTATGAAAGGGGAAAGAGTGCTGCACAACAGCAGCTGGGAGAGAAAAGTGAGAAACAGCCCTGCAGACACCAAGGTCAGTGAAGAAGGAGGGGGAGGAGGCGCTCCAGGTGCTGGAGCAGAAGTTCCCATGCAGCCCATGGAGAGGACCATGGTGGAGCAGGTTGTCCTCCTGCAGCCCATAGCGTACCATGGCAGAGCCTATTTCCACGCTGCAGCCCATGGAGGAGCCCACCATGGAGCAGGTGAATCTGGCCTGAAGGAGGCTGTGGCACATGGAGTGCCCCTGCTGGAGCAGACTCTGGGCTGGACCTATAGCCCATGGAGAGGAACCCACGCAAGAGAATGTGAACTGGCAGGAGCTGCTGCCCAGGGGACCCATTTGAGGTGTTATCAGTATTACTCTCATCCTAAATCCCAAACACCATCCATACCAGCTACTAGGAAGAATATTAACTCTATGCTAACAGAATCCAGGACAGACAAAAATAAGTTATCCGCAGGCATTATAAGATATGGTACCATGAGAAGCAACAAAACAGGCCCAAGAGTGATCATTACAATTCTACTGGAATTATGTTGCTCTTTAGCAGTAGATAAGTGCCTGAACAAAGCACAAGTACAGGTGTTGCACTGTAAATTTGGGGATATTTACTTCACTCTGTGTGAAAATTAGTTGCATCTTTAAGAAAGGCACATGGGAACAGTAAGGTTACTGATTATTGGTAGCAAGCCACAGCACTACAGTTGCTCAACCTATACACAGAAAAATCCTACAAACAGCAAGAACAATGCTACTCTGACCCCAAAGCATTAAAACCACAGTGACTCTGTGAGACTTCTACTTTAAAGTAATGACTGCTGTAATAACTAGAGAACTGACAGTAGTTTTCCTTATATAAACCAATACAACTGCTGCAGAAGAGTATGCCTACTGTAGATATTTTCCCATTGAGATTCAGATTGGCTCAGCTTGTTCTGTCTATCAGTGAAGCTGTTGGCACCTCTGTGATAAGATACTTAAGAAAGAGTTAAAAAAAAAAAAAAAAAAACAACAAACCACCGTATACCAGTACTGGTGCCGATATCCTCCTGCAGCCTGTGGAAAAGACCATGGTGAATAGATAGGGAGATTGCTTACCAATTACCAAAAACAAAACAGACTTGACTTAGGGAAAGTTAATTTATTGCCAATTAAAAATAGAGTAGGATAGCGAAAAACAAAACTAAAAACACCTCCCCGCCCTTCTTCCTAGACTCAACTTCATTCCTTCACTCCTGAAGTATCTACCTCCTTCCCCCCAACTCCAAGCAGAACAGGGAGGATGGGGTAATTAGGAATGGTGGAGGGTATTTGCAGTCAGTTCACAATGCCTCATCTCTGCTGTTCCTTCCTCCTCACACTCTTCCCCTGCTCCAGCATGGAATCTCTCCCACGGGATACAATCCTTCCCAAACTGCTCAAATATGGGCTTCCCACAGTGCATGGGTCCGTACCACAAGATGCAGTCCTTCAAGAACGAACTGCTCCAGCATGGGTCCCCCCCAGGCCACAGTTCCTGACAGACAAGTGGCTCCTGCATGGGCTCTCCATGGGCTGCAGTTTCCTACAGGCTCCAGCATGGGATCCTCCACAGGGTATGGTGTGGATATCTGCTCCGCCGTGGTCCTCTCAAGAGGCTGCAGGGGAATCTCTGCTCCAGCACCTGGAGCACCTCCTCTCACTCCTCCTTTGCTGACCTTGGTGTCTGCAGAGTTGTTTGTGAGCAGCTGCAGGGTGCTTAGCTGCCTACAGGGCTTAACCCCACAATGCCACATAGGGATTTAAGAAAAGTTTAGGTCATCTTCTCTTCACTGCAAGACACTTAGGGATAAATGTACCAGTGAATACAGCTAACACTTGGTTTATCTTAGATGTCCAATAAAACCTTTACAAGTTAAGAACAGTATATAAGGGCATATAAGGACATTATTCTACGCAATTTATAAAATCTACCCCCAGCTTGACAAACGCTTAAAAGGAAACTTCTACTTTTAGAGCAGCTGAAGATTGCTTCAAGAATTCACGGGTACGTGCTAAGGAAGACAATTTGGTTCCAAAAGTTTTTTTTCCCAAAGATTTAAATTCTATTGTAGTTTTCCAAGCGTTCTCTACTCAAGCTTGTAACAGAGCTTTGGCTGATTTCAACTCTGAGTTTCAAGCTGCAAGATTATTTAGAAATGTGATTATCTTGAGTTCCTTTTACTGATTAGAATAGGGGGGAAATCCCTAAAGAATGTAAAAAGCATTTAGTTACCTCATTAAGAGAAAACAGATATTGAATCAACAGAAATAGAAGATTACCCTTTACAGCTAACAGAATAACAAATCCCCATTTTTAATAAGACAAAATTTGGCTCACTTGACCACTGCTACCATTTTATGTATTTATTTTTTCTATCACTTTTTCCAGGTAGCAATTCATAACAAGACAATACTGGTTTAATAAATAATTTATACTTCATTATTGTATTTAAAAGTTACATACAATAAGCCTTCAGATGACATCAGTTACAAGAAGCTGAAACATGTAAAAGCCTCCACTTAGTTTGTACATAACCAAAAAAGAATACAGTAAAAGCAGTTGTAATTTAGTTCACGTCACAGAAACTTACTTAGCATGACTTACTTCAAATAGTGAAATCCTATGTACAAAATCCTGACCTGTAACTATCATCTGTAACAGCAGTCTTTATTGACAGATATGCATCTATATAGTGCTGAGTAGTACCTTCTGGGTTTTTTAACTCAGATTTCCAAAAACAAACAAAAATCTTTGGTTATAATTAACAGTTTTTCCTCCTATAGAACATCAGCTTTTGATGTTTTCAAACTGTTTCAGACTATGCTGAGTCTGTTTTGCCAGTGATGAGTGACCTAGTGACCTCCCTGTCCTTATCTCAACCTGTGAGCCCTTTCTGTCATATTTCCCCCCCCCCCCTTTTTTTTTTTTGGGGGGGGGGGGGGGGGGGGGAGGGGGTGAGAACGCAGTTGTGGAGTTCAGCTGCGTAGCAGGGTCAAACAAATACATTAAGATATCCATTTGAGTATACTGCTATACAATGAAACAAATCCCTCACTAGTTGTAGGTAAGGGAGTAGTCCCTCTCCACCTCCCACCAAGAAATACTTCCAAGTTTAAATAGTACAGCTACAACTTTCCTGTACAGCTGTACAGGAATAAAAATTAAATTGAACACTCTCACTGATCAACATGTGGTAAATATTCTACACCCGCAGAACAATGCTTTAGTTATATCTATTGACAACTTGATTAGTCCAAGAACCTTTAGCAGTCTTTGTTAGCGTTTTAAAGTAAATAAACTGTCAGCTTCTGTTAAGTCAGTTGTACCCAGTGTTACTGTGCAAACATACCTGGCTCAGTCTCTGTTTTCGGTGTTACTTTTTCCTCTCTTGAAATGCTCATTTCTGTCATTTGCTGCATTACAGGCAAAGCGGCAACAGGCACATTTCTGTTTACGTACGGTGAAATGGGTAATTTATGTTAGTTTTGAGTTCATAATAAAAGCTCAAACTGTCAAAATCCATCAATAGACTACCTGTTCCTGACCTCTACTTCTACCATCTCTAAAAATACATCTTCCAATCTGTTTTAGTTTCCCTATAGGAAAATAGGAAATCTGTAGCAAATATTTCTCCAGATAAACCAAAAATGTTCTTGTAAATGCAACAGTCCAACACCAACCACTAATTAGTTCTCATTTATATCCATAAGGCACTGTCTGGTGCCCCATCCCTTTTTCCTCTGCAGAAACTCATTATAATAGCATAGTGTTACTGAAGCGTTACTTTAACTTGCTATTTGCTCACATTTCATTCAAACCTGAAAATAATACCTTCATCTTACCTTGATTTTTCAGATGTGCTACTGGCAGCTCCTTCACAATTGTTTAAACTTGCATCTGCTTGTTGTATAGATGCAGAGTCTGAGGTAGGAGTGTTTGAACCACTAGCTGTACCTGTATATAAGGGATTTGAGAAGTTGATTATAAACAAACTCTAGAATACAAGTTAGTCAAGTAGCTTTGCATAGATTTATAAACTGTTTCCATTCATTCTACAGCATTTTCTTAAAGACAGGCTATAATGCTAATGACCAAAACACAGGGATTGTGTAAGAACACACTTTTAGTGGAAGGTAAGTTGTAAATTAAAGGCTCAACACCAAATGGGCCAGAATATATTATGCAAAAAATGCATTTTTTTAAATTGTGATTTAAAGCATTATTCCCTTTGAAATACATAGTTTTAGTACACAGCTATCAGAACTCCTGAAATACATTCTGTAATTCCTCTCATTAACTACCATTTTAAAAACAAAGACTCACACCTTTACCTGTTGGGCTGATTATACTGCTATTCTGCTGACGTTGAAGATATTCTTTGTAGCAAACAGAACACATGCCACTTGTCCTAGGATTTCCATAAAATCCACATCCTGTACTACACAGCATGGGCCCTGGGGTCTGGTTTGTCTCCTGAGCCATCTTGATGCTGTAAATAAAACCAAGAAAAGCATTAGGAAACCACATTTACACAGTCTGTGTATTACCAAAAAGCCACTTAAATCTTTTGTCTTAATGTTATAAACAGACTTCTGCACCTCCCAAAGGTAGGCAATGCTAACCCTCATCTTTGCCACCAACTACAAACTTTAGGAATAAAAATACTTCAACCTCACTAGTATTTAACCTCTGCAAAGCAAGGTTTATAGAAAAACTGATAATAGCAACCAAATCCTTGGATCCCAAGGGCAATGAAACTAGAACATGGTAATCAAGCAGTCTACTACAAGTTGAGAGCACAGAACAATATCACACTTGTGCTCCAAAAAATTAGATTTAGTGGAAGTACTGCCTATGATTGCCTAAAATATCTCCACTTGGAGTGAAAACTCTAGATTACTATCTTACAATTTAGAAGCGGACACAATAAGGGATATTTGACTGCTGATGCTCATAAAAAATCAAATGTACCAAAAGGTAATTAATTCTAGTGTTTAAAGAAATACTTTTTAATAACTTGAAAAAAAAGCCACACTACAAGTTGTAAACATATCTCAGTAACAACTGTAATGGATGGCATCATTTGTCTAGTTAAACTAGATTTCTGGGATCAAAGTAAATCAGAGGTAGGATGAAAAAGTAATTAAAGTCTGCTTCCCTGCTGGTGGTCGTAGGACTTCAATAATTTATACCGTTGTTTCAGGACTACAAAACAAGGTTACATTTATTCTGATAGAACTCTCAACACTGACGCCCATGGGGGACCCATGTTGGAGCAGTTTGCTCCTGAAGGATGGACCCTGTGGTACAGAGCCATGTTAGAGCAGTTCTTGAAGAGCTGCTGTCTGTGGGAAGCCCATGTAGGATCAGTTCAGGAAGGACAGCATCCCGTGGGAGGGACCCCATGTTGGAGCAAGAGAAGAGAGTGACCACGAAGGAATCATGGAGACGAATCTTTATGGACTGAACGCATCCCATGTTCCCCATTCCCCTGTGCTGCTCCGGGGGTAGATGTAGAAGAGGGTGGACTAGGGAAAAGTGTTTTTAATTTCCTTTTAATTTCTCACTGTTCTAGCCTGCTAGTGATAGGCAATAAATTATATTAATCTCCCTGTCCTCATCTCAAACCTCAAGCTATTTTCATCGTATTTTCTCCCTTTTTTTCTTTGAGGAGGGGGAGCAAGAGAACGGTTGTGGCAGAGCTCAGCTGCATAGCAAGGTAAAACCACCATCTTTCATAGAATCATAAAGGTTGGAAAAGCCCCCCAAAATCATCTGGTCCAACCATACCCCTACCACCAATGTCACCCACTAAACCATGTCCCTAAGCACCACATCCAACTTTTCCTTAAACACCCCCAGTGATAGTGAGTCCACCAGCTCCCTGGGCAACCCTGGAAAGGGCAAACCCCCTCCCTACCCACCTCACCTCCCCAGGTGCCCTTACACAACAAATGTGAGGCTCCCAAGCTTAAGGGACAGTTAAGGGAAAACTTGGGGGAAGGTCCACCCAGGAGGTTGTCTAGAGCAAGGAAGGCAACTCCATACCTCAAGACTGCCTCCACCAGAAAAGAAGGGTAATTGTCATAGGTGACTCCCTTCTAAGGGGAACAGAGGGCCCCATATGTCAGCCAGACTCTACTTGTAGGGAAGTCTGCTGCCTCTGTGGGGCCCGTGTCAGAGGCATTACCAGGAAACTTCCTGGCCTGGTTTGCCCCTCCAATTATCATCCATTACTGATAATTCAGGCTGGCAGCAATGAAATCACTGAGAGAAGCCTGAAGGCTATCAAAAGGGACTTTCAGGGGATTGGGGTGGTTAGCAGATGGAGTGGGAGCACAGGTGGTGTTTTCCTCTATCCCTTCAGTGTCAGGAAGAGATAGTGAGAGGACCTGGAAGGCCCAGCTGATAAATACATGGCTGAGAGACTGGTGCTATTGCAGGAATTTAGGAGGTTCTGGCCAGAGGGAGGTTTACTCAGCACCTGGCCTGATGGCTGCAGATGGGTCCCACCTGCCTCAAAGGGGGAAACAAATCCTAGCCCAGGAGCTGGCAGAGCTTGTTGAGAGGGCTTTAAACTAGGTACAACGGGGGATGGGGATGAAATGAGGCTCAATAGAAATAACCCCCAAGGGAACAATGCCAGGGTTGGGGGCAAGGGTAGTGGCACAACTGAAGTTCATCTACACCAATGGATGCAGCATGGACAACAAACAGGAGGAGCTGGAAGTCAGTGTGCAGCAGGCAAACTACCACTTGGTTGCCATCACTGAAATGTGGTGGGATCACTCCCACAACTGGAGCGCTGCAATGGACGTCTATAAGCTCTTCAAAAGAGACAGTCAACAAAGCAAGGACAGTGGCATGGCTCTCCCTATTAGAGAGTATTCCAGTGTTCTAGAGCTTGGGGCTGGGAATGATAAGGTTGAGTCCCTATGGATAAGGATCAGTGGGAAGGCCAACAAGGCAGACATCCTGGTGGGGGCCTGTTATAGACTGTCAAACCAGAATGAAGTGACAGATGAGGCATTCTACAAGCTGGCAGAAGTTGCACAATTGCTAGCACTTGTTCTCATGGGGGACTTCAACTTCCCAGACGTATGCTGGAAATACAATACAGCCCTGAGGAAGCAGTCTAGGAGGTTTCTGGAGAGCATAGAAGATAGCTTCCTGACGCAGCTGGTTAGTGAACTTACCAGGGGGGTGCCCTGCTAGACCTCTTCACAGAGAAGGACTGGTAGATGTGGTGGTCAGGAGCTGTCTTGGGCAGAGTGACCACAAAATGGTAGAGTTCTCTATTCTTGGTGAAATCAGGAGGGAGTGTCAGTAAAACTGCTACCTTGGACTTCCGGAGGGCAGACTTTGAATTGTTCAGGACACTGGTAGGGAAGGTCCCTTGGGAGTCAGTCCCAAAAGTTAGAGGAGTCCAGGAAGGCTGAATGCTCTTGAAGAAGGAATTCATAAAGGCCCAGGAGCAGGCTATTCCTGCATGCCTTAAGATGAGCTGGCATGGAAGAAGACTGGCGTGGCTGAACAGGGAACTTTTGCTAAGCGTCCAGGGAAAAAAAAAAAAAAAAAAAAGACTTTATATCCATTGAAAGAAGAGACAGGCAACTCAGGGAGAGCACAAGGAAGTTACCAGCATATTCACATAAAAAAAGTCAGGAAGGCTAAAGCCCAGCATGAGCTACTCTATTTCCTTAGAAAGCTAGCTAATACCATTACATGTCTACTTTCCTAAATTTCTCAGAAACTTGGGTCTGTATTGGGCTTACATGGCAAGGTTTTGGTAGCAGGGGGCTGCAGGCATGCCCTCTGTGAGAAAAATCCAGAAGCTGCACCATAAGGGCCAATCAATTTCAGACAACTCCAAAGGGATACACCACTGCCCAGAGCTGAGCCAGTAAGTGATGTTGGTTGCGCCTGAGTGAGACCATATTTAAGAAAGGAGGAAAAAAAAAAAAAAAAAAAAAAAACAAAAAAAAAAAACCTCCTTTCTCTCCCAGCTGCTGTCGACCAGCGTGTGAGAAACAGCCCTGCAAACACCAAAGTCAGGGATGAAGGAGGGGGAGATGCTCCAGGCACCAGAGCTGAAGTTCCCCTGCGGCCTGTGGAGAGAACCATGGTGGAACAGGTTGTCCCCCTGTAGCCTATGGGCACCACATCAGAGCAGATTTCCACACTGCAGCCTGTGGAGAACCCCTGCTGGATTATACTCCAGGCTGGACCTATAGTCTCTGGAGAGGAGGCCATATAGGACCAGGTGACCTGGCAGGAGCTGCTACATGTAGGGGACCCATGTTGGAGCAGTTTGCTCTTGATGGATGGACCCCATGGCATGGACCCATATTTGGAGCAGTTCTTGAAGAGCTGCTGCCTGTGGGAAGCCCACACAGAATCAGCTCAGGAAAGACTGTGTCCCGTGGGAAGGATCCCACATTGGAGCAGGGGAAGAGAATGACTTTGAACAAAGCATTATGGACTGACTGCAACCTCAATTCTCCCACACCACTCAGAGAAAGGAATTACAAGAGGGTGGATGAAAGGAAGGTGTGGTTTTGTTTTTTTTTTTTTTTTTATATTTCTCACTGCTCTAGCCTGTTAGCAATAAGTAATAAATTTTATTTATCTTCCTATGCTGAGTCTGTTTTGCCCATGAAGATAATTGTTGAGTGATCTCCTTGTCCTCATCGCAACCCTTGACCCTTGAGCCCTTTTCATCATGTTTTCTCTCCCTCTCCTTTTGGGGGGGGGGGGGGGGGGGGGGGGGGGGGGAGAGAACAGTTGTGGTGGAGCTCAGCTACACAGCTGAGTAAAACCACCCCAGGGTCACAAAATTGAGGTGAATTAGCTTCTACCTGTCACAAGGCTGCATTGTGACAGGTCAACCTAGAGGCTTACACATAAAGCCTTGTCAACAGGGGCCTCTGAAATCAGCTTCTATTTATATCTCTGAAGGCTGCCAACACCAACAACTCACAGAACTGAAGCATCTGAGCATACACCCACTATAATAGAGAAAAAAATAGAATTAACATGACTACAGCTTCCTTTCTAGAGGAAAGGCAAGTGCAGATACTTGAATTCAATCAAGAAAATGCATCATCATGATAGTCATGTCAGACAGCCATTTTCATCTCTATTTTACAGTAAGATGAGAGAACTGGTTGTGTTCAGAAGCCTAAGATTATCATTGTCTCATGGGCTCACAAATACACCCCCCCCAACTTCTATTTGGGTGGTTACAACCAAACCCCTTTGGGAAAAAAAAAAAAAACAACTTCTACCCCCAAAAGGAAGAAAACTTAAGCCCTAAGGATGTTCCTATTTAACCCTGAATTCCCAACATAAAAAGGAGCTATTTATTCTCTTTTATTTATTATGTTAACTCAAACAATAACTTATAGCACTGGCCTTCATAGTTGCTAGCAAGTTTACCCAGTAAAACTAAAACAGGAACACAAGCACCTTATTATTATGGTTAATGAGGTCTCATAACTAAGAGATCTTTTTAGTTCCAAATTAGAACTAAGCTGACAGTCAGTTTTAATAACAATAGATATTAAGACTATTTAAATGATCAACTAAGCTCTTTTCTGTACACCAAGGCCACTTCCAGTAATCTACAACTGAATCCTAACACATATGCGCTTCATCAAACACATAATGAATGCACTTAAAGTTACCTTAACGCTTAATTTAAAAATAATAAAGGGAATAAAAATCCAAGCTAACTTTAAATCAATAAAAACAGCTTGGAATTGAGTCAATGGTCAGGCTAAATTGGCTAGTTAATCTAAATACTTATTTATCTGAACACCCTCCGCCAGAACCCCCTCCTCCAAAAAAACAGACACACACAAGAACAGCAAGGATGTTTCTGGCATATATGCTCTAGATGAGACAATAAGATGAAGTAAACATGGAGAAAATAGATCAAAAACGGACATTTCCCAATAATGAATAAATCCAGCTCAGCGAGTCAGACAAAAGGGAAGACACTACCAAGTGTTCAATGCATGATACTTCTCAATTGTTTCCCCCTTCTCCCCCGAGAACACCGGAACACAAAAGACTCAAACGTTGCCTGGTTCAGTTAAAAAATAGAAATAAATATGCAAGCAGGATGCCAAGCTGGAGCTGTGGAGACCAGTGCACTCCCAGCCAGGCCCAGATCTAACACCAACCTCTGAATCACGATCGATACATCAACCGCTGCGAAGCCCCATACGACCCCCCTCGTTCCCAGCGAGGGCTACAGAAGCCTCATCGTATTGTTTCCTTTGTCTGCCCTGTTGAGTGGGGAAGGACCACCAGTCCAGACCGCGGCCTTCCTTCACAGCAACTGCCACGCCAGGAACCGAGAGGGAGAAGGCCACACCATAGTAAGCGAGAGACTCCCACCTCTCGTCTCGTGGAAAGCAGCGGAAACGCTGCGAGAAAGCTTAAAGTACCCCCGATATCACTCCTCTACGCACGCTACCACCGCCCTAACAGCTCTTAAGAACCAAGCCCATTATTTCCCCCTCCCCCCCCCCTCCCATTCTTCAGTGCTCGCATACCTGCTACGGGGGGCGGGGGAACAGGAATGGGCGGGGCGGGGCGGGGCGGGGCGGGGCGAAGCGAGAACCCTTACAGCGGACGTTTTGTAGGCGCCGCAGATGGCTCCGGACCGTTCCTAGGGGAGCGGTGGACGAGGTGCAGAGCTAGCAGCGCTACTACCACCCTTTCTATCCGCAGTAGGGATACGTAAGAAGAGCTGTGATGCACAAGAGTTAGATGAAAAGAAGAAAGGCAGGCGAAACAAAGAGAGAATTAGGGAGGAAAGAAAAAGGCGAACCGACTGTTTCGCCTCCTCCTAGCTGCTGCTAAGGCCTGTACGCCCACACGCGGAAACAATTAGGGGGAGGTAGGGCGCATGCGAAGTAGCTTGTGGTACTATTACAGCCACCCGCAGTCATCAAACCCTATACCTCGGGGACTATACAGTAATGGACAGGGAGTTTGCGCGTAATCAGAGAGTCTGCTCTTCCAAGGGGAGAAAAGCCCGTGTGTCTTCAACAGCTCAACCTTATCATAAGAATAGGGTATTGGGTAGGGCTATTGATTCGTTGGCTGATGTCTACTTACACTTCCGTACTTAAACAAATGTTAAGGTACTAGCTGGCTACCTTTTTTTTTTTTTTTTTCCTTTTTAAATAGGCTGACTTAACAAATTACTTGCAGTGATAAACCAGTCTAAAACTGGGGTAATCCTGTGCTTGGTGATTTTGTGGATTGTTTTTTTGTGAGATTACAGTGTAAATAAATTATATTTTCTGTTACTTTTGTTGATTTAAATTCTTAACTTTTGAGTATTTACTATAGAGAGTCATTTGCTTTTAGTAAATAAAGATATCAGCTTGAGACATGTTTTCTGGACAGCTGAAGTAGGAAAAGATTTGTGGTATATGCTAAAGCCCACATAGCACAAATTTGCTGTATGTTTTGCCTGAAGGTTTGCTGACTTTTTCAGCCTCGTCTTTTAACTCAGTGCTTACATTTTGAGGGCTTGCTATTATTTATTGGCTGTGACCACCTATAGCCATAGGATGAACTTGAAATCCAAACTTTGATTTGTATTTGCAAACTTGTATGTCCATGAGCCTAAAAATTAAGCGTTTCTATACTTTTCCATGTCCAAAGTTCAGATCAGGCTTCAACAATGACTTAGATACAATAGGCTGTCTACCATAGACATAAATCTTCCAGGATGTTGATTACCCTGACCTGGATAGGTAAAAGACAGAAAGAAAGGTTATATTTCTATGGAGAGATGAAGTTGGAAGGTTGTGCAAGCATGGAGCACACTTGAAGAGGAAAAATAAATCAAAGAATTAAACTTATTTCAGACTTTCTGCTCACTCTAGGAGTAGAAAAGGGTAATTTATAGTTTTAAAATGCTGTTAGTAGGTATAGGATAATGATTACTTTGTCATAATAAATTAAAGGCAATTAATATTTTAAGGTAGTATTTCTGGGAAATGGAAGATAAATATACCATGTTTGTGTGAATATATTCATCTTAGGAATAGAAGATCTGTAAAATTTAAAGCTGCTTTAGATAAATGGTCTAAATAGTTCAGCTTTGCTTAAATGCAGTTTCTACCACATTGTATTGATACTCTGAGGCTACAGTGTATTAGGATACACATTTATGGGTCTCTCTAAACCTTAAGAAAACAGCTAGAATTGGAAGGTATGGCTTTATAGGAAATACACCACTGAAATCATTAGAAAAAATATTTTTGCCTGACATACCTTGTAATGCTGACCTTGTCAGAGGGATGACTCCTGAGACCCAAAAGCTTCTATCAGAGACAAAACTTTCAGGTAAATGGTGTGGGATTATTCTGGGTTGTGCCTGCGTGCATGAGGGGAAGTGTCTGGGGTGCCTGCGAGCACAGTGGGTGGGGTCCTGGGTTCCTGGGCGGGATGCTTTGACACTATATAAGATAATGTCACGCAGTAATAAATTGGCTTACGGCACCAAACGCTGGTCATTGTGTCCGTTTGTCTCCGGGGTTTTGGTCGGGTTATCCGACATATGGTGACCCCGACGTGATATGATTCCCAACGTGAAACCGGTTGGCGCGAGTTAGGCGTGGTGCGTACATGCTAGGTACACGGGTGGCCATGGGGCCTGGAGTCGATGAGGTGGTGAGTACTGTTAAATCCTTGGCCAAGGAAGTAGGGATAACACTACAAAAGAAGGACGTACGGTCCCTCTTGTTCTGGGCGACACGCCAGAATCTGGCAGAGTCTCCTGTCCATTGCTTGAGACAGACCGTTTTAGAAACGGTGGGACGGGATTTATTTGATAGCGCCTGCATCGGGAACAAAGAGGCGCTGACTTTATTACTGACGTATGGGTCGGTGCGAGCGGTTTTGGAAAAGGTAGCCAACGTGACATGCCTGTGGGCTGCTGTGCACCACATGCTTTCGTCTGATGGGGACGGTGAGGATAAGCGGGCTCTTATGGAGCTGCCGGTAAATAACAATCTAAAGGAGGGCTCAGGGCAGGTGAAGGAGGAGGCTCGATCGGGAGATGAAAATAATGTGGAGCAGGAGAAAGAAGAAGGTGGGAACCCCCTTGTGGCCCCCCTGCGAGTTTGGTTGGATCATGAAAAAATAGCAGTGCCTAGTGCTCCCCCGGCAGAAGGGAACGCGGTACATATTTCATCGGACGGGTCCTTTTGGGGGGTAAATAAGAAGGGCTCCCTTATCCTATTCCCTGCCGGGGGTCCTGAAGGGATAGGGGTGGCATCCGGGCAGGCACCAGCGTTTTCAGGCTCCCTCCGGCTGCCGCTGTATGCCCCTCCGGCGTTTGACCCTGGAGAGCGGGAGGGGGGGCAAGCGCGGGTGGAGTCTTTTTTGGAGAAGCCCCTACCATCGTCTGTGTGTTGCGTTCCCGTTCCGTTGGGTGCTGCGCCCCGAGAGAGAGAACGAGTGGATAGTGATAGTTCAACAGATGAGGAGTCTCGGGATCCTAGACAGGCTGCCTCGCGGCAGCCGATGCACATCTGCGAGGAGGTGCAGAAGGCAAGAGAAAAATGGACTATTAGCGCGCGAGAATGTCTTCTCTCGGGTTGTGAAATAACGCCAAGTCCTGTGCGGATAGGGTGCTTTCCTGTTTTCGCAGGGTCTCAGGGACATCAGTGGCAGCCGGTAGACTATAAGATGCTTCTACAGTTAAAAAAGGCTGTACAGGAGGATGGATTCTCTAGCCCAGACACAGGTTTTGTTGGATGCAGTGGCTTTGCAAGGGCCCCTGATGTTTGACTGGCGGCAGGTTGCCCGAGCCTGCCTGACGGCAGCGCAGGTGCCCATATTTGAGTCTTTGCTGGAAGAGGAAGGCGAAGCCTTAATGGCTCGTGCATGGGCGAACCCCCAGGATCCTTTACATGGTTTGCCTGGGGAAGCATTGTTGGGACGAGGGCAGTGGAATACTCCGCAGGAACAATTATTGCTGCCGCCACCTGTGCTTATTGCCGCCGCCGATTTGGGCCGCAGAGCATTAGAGCGGATGAATGCTGTAGTCAGCCCGACTCCCAGTTATCTGCATATTCGGCAAAAACCTGAGGAACATTTTGGGCGCTTTGCAGGCAGGGTGCAGACAGCTGTGGCAAGCAGTAATTTACCACCGGAAGCGCAAGATGTTGTTTTGAGGGAATGCTTAAGAACGGGAGCTCTGCCTGAATTCAAGGCTGCTCTTGCAACGCTTCCAGCTTCAGCAAGCGCGGGCGAGCTGATTGCTCGTGGCTGTGCGTTTGGCAAGGCTCAGGAGATGCAACCTCTTGCTGCTGCCCTCAGTGAGCAGATGATGGGAGTCACGTCTGCCCTCCAGATGCATCCTGGTGGTTGTTTTCACTGCGGACAGCGTGGTCACGTAGCTTGTGAATGTCCCAAGAAAAGGGAACCTGTGGTCGAAGACAGCCGTGTTCGTTGTTGGGTGTGTGGGTGGTCTGGCCACCGTGCTCGGGAGTGCTCACAACGCAAAGGGGAAGTGAAAGAGGAAAAAATGGGGGGGCAGTCGGGAGACGCCAACGCCAGGACGAAAAGGGACCCGCCGTCTCAGCCACAAGCGTGGGTCCCAACCCCCATTGAGCAGGGGTGGACAAGTCCACCGTCCAGTCTCGGGCCAGAAAACGATTGGTACAGGGAGCTATTATTATTCTACATCAGGGCCAGCTGCAGCGCCTACTGCTTTTTGGCTATGTGTCTGTGCCCCGCGTTGCGTTTCCACAATGGGATGAACTCCTTGCCCTCGCTATAGAGTGGGCTCGAACGAAGCGACTCCTGCTTGTCCTTGCCTTGTGCCCTGCAGTGTACGGGGGCTACTGGCAGGAGTATGCTGTGGGTTACCGGACCGCTCCGCTATTTCCAACGCCATACGCTTACAACCTACGGTCTGCTGAGCCAGTACCCAACGGGACACTTCGTGGACTGTTCCTGCCTGCTGCTTGCCAGGGAAGGAAGCTGACTACCATCCGTATCAATGCCACCGTGCAGGCAGGTATCAATCTGACACATGAAACACACTTGTCATCGGACAGCACCATGCATGCGACAGAGGACGGAAAAGAAGCCGTTCTGCCAGGGACGCAATTGTGCGGAAGACAAAATAAAAGAAGAGCAGCGTGACGCAGAACAGAATTGGCTGGGGGCAACTCTTGAGGGGCTAGGCCTTCATCTAGAAGGATGGCTTAAATCGCTTTTGCAAACAATATTGCTACTAGTAATAGTATTCATTGTGATAGGGCTAGTATATGCATGTATTAAAGCAAAAATAGCTAGAAGCAGTGTAATGAATCGCAGCAAGCTGACCATTCTCACCAAAAATCATGAAGGGTTCCCATTATCACCACCTGTTCCTGGGATGGATTCTCATCCCTAAGTAGTTATGATTAAATCAAGCTTAGCGTAATGGGTTAAAGGGGGTGCGTTGCTGCATAAAGAGGGGGGAGATGTGGGGTTATTCTGGCTTGTGCCTG